TACGTATGTGCATTGCGCCGAATACATTGCATACATGGCCTCTATTAATTATTTTCCTTGCAGAACTCAAAATTGTACCTATTTTCAATTTATGTTGCGCTGTATAAAATCAATACCATGTTCAAGTTCAACACATACTTCATATACGAGACCCGTCTACTAAATCTTAACACTAAACTTGTCACAAAATATAACTTTTAGAGGAACGTGGGGTGTGAATCTATTAGAAAAAACTTTGTTAGGCCGGTAGTTATAACCGATAACTATGATAGTGGTTAATCGATGATTTTTCAGTGATTCATTTTTTTTAGCTGACTTTACCTAGTGGTTAATCGATAAAATAAAATCAACTAATCGTATACTAGTATAGTCACATCGCTTGGAGATTGGAAATGTCTCAGAATTTAAGAACAACCAAAATCGCAATTCCAAACATCCAAAAAATATACTTACTGCAAACAACCCTCCATCCAAAATGTCAGGGGTGTTTAAGAATCGGAATCCGAAAATCATCTCTCTTACTCCCTTCTACAGTCGACAAAACTTTGATGACAAAATTAAACCCATTACAAGTTTAGGAAAATCATAATAATATAAAACATCATTCCCTTATGTAAAGAAAAAAAAATCATAAAACGTATCCATAAATCAGCTATTATCATCATGGGCCAAAATAACAGAGTTCCCACTGGCAAAGGAAAAAAAAAAGGATTGAATAAACCCATATGCAAATAACAGAAAGAAAGCCCTGATCTGCCACCATGGCCCAAGCCCAACTAACACAACCCAGCAGTAGTACTTCCGCCGGCACCGCCGCCCCTGAGCGCAAGCACGAGATGCAGAACGTCGCCGGTTTCAATGTTGTAGTCCTTCCCCGTCTTGTCATCCGCCATCTGTTTCCCTTTGAAGATCAGCCGCTGCTGATTCGGCGGGATTCCTTCCACCTCCTCCACTTTCACCTTTATCCCCGCAACCGTATCCTCCAAGTCCACGTCGACGCCAATCTCCTTCCCCGTCAGCGTCTTCACTTTGATCATCGTCCCTCCCCTGAGCCTCAGAACCAGGTGAAGGGTCGATTCCTTCTGAATATTGTAATCGCCCAGCGTTCTACAGTCTTCCAGCTGCTTTCCGGCGAAAATCAGGCGCTGCTGGTCGGCCGGAATCCCCTCCTTGTCCTGAATCTTGGACTTGACGTTGTCCACGGTGTCGCTGCTCTCCACCTCCAGAGTAATCGTCTTCCCGGTGAGCGTTTTCACGAAGACCTGCATCTTTCTCAGTTGCCGATCGAATTTGATTAGGGGTTGATTGATGATTTCTTCTTTGACCCTTTTCCTTCGTTAATTGGAGTGCCGGTTTGCAATTGGGTTTGCGTTAGTCGGGGGTCGGGCTCTTTTTATAGCCTCTGATTTTTATTGCCGATTTCTGGTCGGAAAAGGAGAAGCAGAGTTCCCTCCGACCAGTCCAAATCTGTCTCGGAGAAGGTGGGTCATTCCGATTTCCTATCTGTTACCTCCCCAAATACGGCACCGTGTTGCGGTGTACTTACTTCCCTTGTCCTGCTTGAATTAAGCTGTTGTTGTAAAGAAGCATCACCCAAATGGACACCATAGATTTATCAATGGTAAGCTCTTGTATTCCAAAAACTCATTTCCTTAAAAACACCAACGTTTCCTCTGTGATGCCAGGGACCTCCCTCAAATACCCATTGGCAGATTGCAGTAGTATGAAATTGGGAATTTGGAATAGGACTACATGGTCTCCCAATCAAGAAACATGAATTTCACCCTCTCTGCCCCAGATGTAGTTTGCCAAGTATTGAAGTGACTGAAAGAGAAGCCGGGGAATTAAGGAACGAGGGTTACTATTTGCCGCCCGTCTCATTACTATTTGCCGCCCGTAAATTAAACTAAAATGACATTTTTACCCTTTGTTCATTTTTTATAAAACAAACTCCATTCCACCACTACTGTCGCCGGCGCCAATCCACCACCGCCGCTAAATCGCCGACGTCGCCACCACCTCCAGATTACTACCGCGGCCAGAACCAAATCACCACAGCCGGCGGGAGGCCCCGTCCGACGCCGGCGGGAGGCCCCGTCCGACGCCGGCGGGAGGACCCCGTCCGACGCCGGCGGGAGGACCCCGTCCGACACCGGCGAGCGGACCGTGCATTAGCGACGGTTTCAAAACCGTCACAAAATTCGTCGCTAAATGATAATAATTATTTAACTCAATCTTCTATTTTTTTTAATATTATATCATGCTAATAATTATATGTATGTTTATTAATTATATTTATGAAGCCGGCGGGAGGCCCCGTCCGACGCCGGCGGGAGGCCCCGTCCGACGCCGGCGGGAGGCCCCGTCCGACGCCGGCGGGAGGACCCCGTCCGACGCCGGCGGGAGGACCCCGTCCGACGCCGGCGGGAGGACCCCGTCCGACGCCGGCGAGCGGACCGTGCATTAGCGACGGTTTCAAAACCGTCACAAAATTCATCGCTAAATGATAATAATTATTTAACTCAATCTAAAATAATTTCCTAGTAGGATTGGATGGATCGAGGTTGAAGGTAGCTATTCAAGGGGAATGAGGGTTTAGGGTTCCAGAGGAGTATAAGGTATAGGAGGTGGATGAGATGCTTTCCTTCTTTATTGTCATTATTGGTCCAGTTGAGTCGAGTTGATTCTTATTGTTGTTATCCGTCATCTTGGGTGAGATTATTTCAACTGTGGTCAAACCCTAATTAAGTCAAACCCTAATTCGAATCAAACCCTAATTAAGTCAAACCCCAATTCCCTCAAACAACTATGGTCAAAATAATATATAATTTAGTCAAACCCTAATTCGGGTCAAACCCTAATTCGGGTCAAACCCTAATTATATCAGACCTTAATTCGGGCCAAACCCTAATTAAATCAAACCTTAATTCAGGTCAAACCCTAATTCGGGTCAAACCCTAATTAAGTCAAACCCTATTTTTCCTCAACCAACTGTGGTCAAATAATATATAATTTAGTCAAACCCTAATTTAGTCAAACCCTAATTCCCTTAACCAATTGTGGTCAAATTAACAATTATATACTAATTATTCAACTATCAATATTAAACTAATTAAGATACTAACAATTGTATTTAAAATAAATCTAATAAATATTTATTTAAACCGAACCATTCAAACCGAATCATAAACCCAATCAGATCGGTCCGACCAGACCGGGCGGACGGGGTCCGACCAGACCGGGCGGACGGGGTCCGACCAGACCGGGCGGACGGGGTCCGACCAGACCGGGCGGACGGGGTCCGACCAGACCGGGCGGACGGGGTCCGCTCCGGCCGGGCGGAAGGGGTCCGCTCCGGCCGGTCGGACCGCGTCCGCTCCGGCCAGTCGGACCGCGTCCGCTCCGGCCAGTCGGACGGCGACTGAAAAAAAAAAAATAAAAAAAATTCCCTCTGCCGAGCTTGGGAGGTTGGTGGCGGCGAGAGTGAGCGAGGAAGTCCGCGGCGGCGGAGGGAGGAGTCGGCGGCAGGAGGTTGGCAGGAGGGAGGAGTTGGCGGCGGCGGGAGGTCCGGCAGGAGGAGGGTTGTCGGCGGCGGGCGGTCGACAGGAGGAGGGAGGGTTGAAGGGGGCGGCAGCAGATGGGTTGAGGGTGGGATAGGGTTAAGGGCAAAATCGTCTTTTTTCTTCTAACTACGGGCGGCAAATAGTAAAACTGCGGGCGGCAAATAGCGATTCATTTAAGGAACTGATCGACGAGGCTGTTTTCCCATCATTTAGAGAAGGAATCGCGAGAATCGATTTTAGAGAGAAAGGAAGAGAGCATTATATCTCTTTCAATATAAGTGATTTATTTTGCATAAAAAAATTACATTAGTCGTGTTATGGAAATACTAACCACCATTTATCACCTTACACAATCACCTACCATCAATTACCACCATAAAACTGTTATATGTTGATATAGTTGTTGATGCAAAATATTTAAAGACATTGGAGGCAGCAGGCGTCCCACAACAGTTTGTGAAGCTAACAATGCACTGCATTACGACAACCACCATGTCGACTCAGTGGAACGGAGGCTTGTAAGGCCAAAAGCCCCTTATCGGATTTGAACCGATGACTTACGCCTTACCATGGCGTTACTCTACCACTGAGTTAAAAGGGCCTATTTAATTTACTTCAATTTCTGAATGAATCCCTATCCGCATAAAAAAGAATATATCTACGGAAATAAATTATAAATCAAATATATGGAAAGTAAGCAAGGAAGAAAGCAACCTACTGAGACCGAGCTATACACCCGGAAGGTGAAGCAATACCACATTCTCAATACCCCGGTTCAAACACCGATGTAGGGCTTCGTTCTTCTTTTGTTCCTCTTTCTTCCATCTTCCTTCACTTCGATCAAGCGCGATCGGCCGATCGTTCCCCTTCCTCTGGGAAAAGTAGCAAAGAGTATTTCCCTGTAAGGAAGTAAGTGGCATGTCAAAAACATGAAAGAAGAGAAAAGAGAAGAAAGAAGACCGTTCTCGCCTAAGAGGTTTACACGGGCTAAGCCGAGGGAATCACCATTAAAGAAGCTGTTTGTGGAGATCTATAGGCTGTGTGTTGGGACAGTTTGCTTTTTCAAGCAAAAATACGGGGAAAATGAAAGAATGGCACAAGGGAGTATCCCGCCGGTCCCGCTATGAAGAGGAGTCGTAGTGTCTTCGTTCCACCCCAAAAAGGTAATAAATTACCCGGCGCAGTGTTGAGTTAGTATTTTAACGACAAGTGTTGGGCAGACGAAAATTCCACTAACTGACGTTGGCTCACATGAAAGACCAGATGAATCTTCAAATGGGACGACATGAACTAAATCAGAACGGTCCATGGCTGAATGGTTCCCCTCGTCGGAAAAGAAGCGAGCATGAGGTTACGTTGCACAAGTGATGATGAATGCAGCGATCGAAGATGAGATGTAGAAAAGGTCTTTACAGTGAGAATAAGAGGCTTCCCTCGCCCAACTCCTATAATTTTTTTTGATTGCTGAGGAATTCTATCTAGTAAGTGCGCCTTCTGGAGGGTAAATACCCCCTTAAAAAGAAGTGGCTTAATAAAGTGACAAGCAACCAAGCAAAGAATAGGAAGATTCCCACAGATTTGGCATCAGTAGACAAACTATTTTTGATAAAACACACGAGTGGCATGATGCTTCTCCAATATTTCCCATTCATCAGTCTTACTAACACTCAAGTGAAATCGAGAAACCAAACCCAGAAAAACCCACTAAGAAACAAAGAGTGGAGAACATCACTCAAAAACCACTACAAAAGCCCATTTCCTCCACTGCAGTTCCAAATCAAAGCAAAAAAAAACAACTGATGCTGGCTCCCACCTTAACAACAACAACAGCTACTAGCTTGCTACCAATTGACACCCATATCTACACTGGATGGACCCATCTCCTGTCTTCTGGAATACAACATTAGTAAGCAAGACAAAAGCTAAAGCACCCCCTAAATCCCAAAGAGAATCTCAGGATCAAACTTGTCTTTATCTCCCACTCTTTTTGACCATACAAGCCCCATATCATCCTCCCACTTTAGTTTCAGTTAACAAAAGTAACATAGGACTTTGGGATCATTAGCATTTCACATGGGTCTTCTGTTCTCTCTTTCCCTAGTAGTCTTCCCATTCAAACTACCTTTCCCTACCAACCCCAATAAACAAATCCCACCAGCTTCAAATCTCCAATCCTTCTACCATATGGACTCTGGAGATACAAACTCTTACCCACCTGCTTTAGCTTAGTTTCTTTTACACTATACATTGGAACTTGGAAGGAACTCCTAATGTTTAAGGACTTTCAGGGATGCCCACCTTTATGAAGTGTCATGAACATACTCCCAAATCTGGAACTTCAAATCCTATGCCTGGACACCCCTCTCTTTTCAGCTGCAATTGCCAGAAGTCTCGACACCCCCTGCGTCCAGAGATCGTACTCCTTCTGACTCATGCACTCGAACTCCACCTCGCCTCGTAGCACTGTCTTCAGCCCAAAGTATCGCCGGTTCTCTCCACCCTCCAGCAAATGCCGGCCTGGCCAGGCCGGGACATCCTTGATCACCTCCAACACAATGTCTGCAGCACAAGCGTATGGGAACACCAAAGCAAGATCAGATTTCTGATCAATCAGCTTTTGATCGGGTTTCACGATCAAAGCAGCAAACTTTCACAAATCCCCAAATGGAAGGGACAGAATAAAGACTCATACACCATTGTTTTCACACCACCATTGATCCAAAGTAGGGCAGGAAGGAGTGAGAGTGACAAAAGGTAAAGTGATGACGATGGAAAACGCTCTCTTTCAAAAACACAGACTTACTCTTTTTCTTTTTGGTTATGGTCCCAGCAACATGTCTGCTCTTCATCTTCAACATAACCTGCACAAAAAGAAGGTTTGGGTAACAAGAAAGTTAAAGTAAGAACCAGGAAAAGGCAAAAAAGTAGCAGTCTATAGATCCCATTTATTTCATCATCATAACGATCAAAGATGGAATGGAGCTCATTGTAGCTTAAGTTAAAGCTAATTGCTTTCGCTTTTGCTTTTTGGATTTGATCACCTTATTATTAGCTTTCTCTTATATTCCCCCCTCTCTTCCCTACCTAGATGCTCATCATCTCCTTAACTACAATATCCCAATCATACCCACATTATGCAAAATGATTAGGACTTTAGGAGGAACATTCACCAAAATTCCATAATTGGGTAATAAGTTGAGACGATAGGAAATTTCCCAGATGATCAAGCTAGTTAATATGGTGATAGTGGTATGCTTATACACATATCATATCGTCGAATCACGTAGTAAGATGCATTTATACGATGTTAATACATGTATTCAGCAATTGAGATTGTAATTCAGATGATCCGATTATGTTAGTTCATCCTGTCATGCGAACAAAGATAAGATTGTTACCTGATTCGTCCTGTTGATGTAGACAGATACAACCTTCCAGTGCAGATCGCCTGCATTATTTATGAATTATTACTCAGGATTCAGCTATGTGATTGAAATTTTAAGGAAGTACTTCTCATATTTCATCTCTGCAATTGAGAAAATGGATAATTTACCTTTGCGGGTTCGCTTGAGGAGATCACAGCCTCTGGCTAACAATTCTCTGCTGCAAATCCCCAGAAAATTCTCTTCAGGAACAAGCTCCCCGCTAGAACTTCCATTGCTACCGTTACCAGCCGCCGGACCACCGCCTCCGATCCCTCTCTCCACCGGGATCACCGCCGCAATGTTCCACACTTCCTTCAATGCCCTCGCCTTTAATGTCGCCGCGCCACGCAGAGCTGCATAAGGGGGAAAAAACCCAGATTGAGAGAACCCTAATCTTAAAACCACTAATTGAGATTTGGAAATTTGGGGGAAAAAATGGAATTTCTAACGTACACGTGGCAGCTGCGGCGGTCAAGGTCATGATATCCCCGGCCGACCTAACGTTCACGGCGGAGCTGACGACGGCGGCAAGATGCTCGCGCTCAGCACCCATGGCCTCCGCCGCCTCCACGCACTGCGCGGCGACCAGCGTCGCCGCGGAAGCCACCGCCATATCGGTTTTCGCGCGCTGCTCGTCCTTCCCAGCCCCGGAAGACGCCGCCGTCGCGGCAGCAATCGCCGCGACGGCGGCGGCGACTCCCGCGACGGTGATCGCAGCGTGGACCTGAGCGTTATGTGCCCTCGTCTCTTCCTTCTTCTTCTCCTTCCGATCCTTCAACCACCTCCCCACCGTCCTACCTCCACCGCCAGCGGGGCCTCCCATCATCGCACCTCCGCCGCCACCTGGCGTTCCGGAGGGCGTACGGAAATGGGGAAGGGTGAAATGGAGGTGATGGTTGTTGTTGTTACCGGCCCGGCAGTTCTGCGAGCGGGACAAAGAACCACAGATTGAGTAATCAACACAGCCAAGCATCTTGCTGTTCACCCCCGCCATTTTTGTTCAATATTAAAGAAAAAAATTCAACCGATTGGGAAAATGAATCAAAAAAATTGGCGGGTGGGTTAGGGAAAGCCAGAAAAACTCTGCCTCTGCCCTTTCCCTCTTCCCGTTCCCGCGTTTTTTCCTTCCTTCAGATTGAGAAATTCCATTCTGAATTATATATGGATGAATTAAGGAATTTGAAGATCCGTTAGAAATTTTACGGTTGGTTCCCTCGCATCACGGGTCCTATGTTTCAGTTCTCGCCTGGAAAATTCCGTATCAAAGTTTTTTTCTTCTTCCAATAAAACAAAATTTGGAAGAGAGAAAAAGGCAAAGGCAAAGGGACAGAGAGTCAGAGTCCCCTATTTTTCCTTTTCTTTTCTTTGGACCAAAGCAAAGCATATGCTGGAAAATCAAAACCATGAATGATACTATTTCACTTTCTACAGTTTCATAGAAAAGAATTTAAAAGAGAGGGAAGGAGGGAGCATTGGGTACAGGAAAACTGAAGCATGAGTGATTGTTTAATCTGGGTTGGGGGAGAAAATGTGTCAGTGTGTGACAGTGTTTGCCGTGCTTCTGTAGCACGAAAAGGAGCAAAAGAACAATCTCTAGAAATGGAGCCATGGATCACTTTAGTTACCATATCGATGAATAAACAGTGGGTGGTGGCCGGTGTTTGGCAGAGTGAAAGATTCCGGCCACGACCCTATAGTTACTACTAACAATAAATTTACCTTCAGGTCCTCCATCTCCGACGGAGAAACGGGCGGGCTGTCGGTGAGTGAACCGTTGAGTGGGCCGCTGCTGTGCGAGAGCCTGCCGGAAGTTCTTGGAGAAACCTCTTGCTGGGTACCGGGAAAAAATTTCAATCAAGAAAAAAAAAACAGAGCAATTGACATTAGTCGGAAGGATTGATTTTAATGGAAAAATTATTCAGGTACTCTGTTTCTCACTACCAGCTCAGTAAGGCCTCAAGAAACGGACAAATGCCGATGGATTATTAAAACGATAAAAAGAAACAAACACAAACTTGATCCCTCTTAACATGAAAACGGCGAGACTCGGGGAAACTAAGGATTCATCGAAGTTGACCTTCCCCGATTCACTGTTGATTAATTTAATAAGAAAAATGGCAGCTGAAAAATGTGCAGGAAGTAGGTACTCTGTTTTTTTTTTTTTTAATTCTTCTTCACTGGACGTTACAAACAGAGCAAGGGAAAAAAAAGGGGAAAAGGAAGCTCACCGAGTGGGATAAGATACGGTCCATGACCATCTGAGAAGTCTCGGAGGAAGCGAAGGAGAAAGGGTTGCCGGAGAAGACGGCGGCGCCGTCGTCGAGCTCGGCGGTGATGTCCTCCTGAATGGATCCGTTGGCGGGCTTGGAAAAGAGCAATTGGTGGTGGTGGTGGTGGGGAGGCGGTGGTGGGGCCAGAGCCTTGGAGACCTCGGAGGCGGAGAGGCTCCAGGAGCGGGAGAGGAACTCCATCGGTTCTCTCGGGGTTTCCGGCGGGCGGAAGAAGGACGCGGCCGGGTCGGGCCGCCATGTTTCGGTCAGGGACAACTTGTCCATTGGAGCAGGAAGATGGAGACAGAGATGGAAGACACAGAGAGAGTAGGACAAGAATGGAGATTTGGGAAGGATGAAGAAGAAGAGGAGTGAGAAGAGGGATTTTAATTAATTGTTTTTTGGGTGGAGGAAGGAAGGGGAAGTAATAATAAGGTTGGGAGAGTGCTTTATAGGGAGGAAGAAGTGGGTTGATGAGTGGGAGGAGAGGAGATAAAGTGGGTGTGGAGATTGGAGAATGGAATGTCAGGGATTTAATTAATGATTTAAATTAAACTGTTAATTCGTCGTTAGTGTGTGTGTATTTGTTTTTGCATTTATGGATTAAGGGCTTGGAGTTTGGGGAAACAACAAAGATTAAGTGAGGATTTGGGGATTAATTTTTTTTTTTTTTGGCATAGATATGGACGTTTATAGATATTACATGACACTCGACAACCAGACGCGACAGTCGACAAGTAGTCGAACTGTCGATGAAAGGGCATTAGTAGCCACTAAATGGGCAGCCCTGTTGTACAACCGAGGAGTAAAATTACAATCAAAGAAACTAAACATCGCGCCAGCAGTGCAAATTTCCTCCAAGATCGCACCTCCTGATCCATGGTTCACCTCCTTGGCGCTCACCCTGCGAATCAACGGCTGACAATCGCCACAAAAATTGACCAAACCAAATCCATGCAACACACACCAGTTAACCGCATCACGAAGAGCTAATAATTCCGAAGTAAAAGGATCCGACACACCTGGGTAGTACCGCCCAAAGGCGAACAGAATCTGACCGTTGTTGTCAAGCCCGACAAAGCCGACACCGCCTCCTGAATCCTTCTTCCAAGCTCCATCGAATCGTACTAGCACACCACCTGCCGGACACACCCCACCTGGAGCCTGCGCCGGTAAAGCCTGGCCTGCGCCCAACCGTGGCCTAGACGTCCCATCACCAACCCTACGAAGAGTCAATGGAGCCGTTGCATGTTCCCATTCGTCAACCTGAGCACGGAATTGACGAAACAGAGCCAGCCCCATGTACTGAATGCGCTTATGAAGAGCCCAACAGCGGGATTTCCATACTCGCCAACACAGAAACACTACGTTAGCAATCTCAGACTTTGAAAGATGACAAGAGAAGGATTAATTTAATAATAATGATGATGGAAAAGGAGTCCGCGGACTGGAGTGAGTGAAGAATTTTTTTTTTTTTTTTTTTTTAACGAGCAAGGAACGGGAAGGACTGCCCTACATAACGGCGGGAGGGGGGGCTCCTCTCCGTTTCTCCGGGGAATCTTTTCTCCAGAGTAACTTTACGAGCAAGACACTTTGTATTAAAGGCATGGACCTTGATTGGGTCATTAATGGAGCATTTTGTTAGATGTGCACTTAAAATAGGACACATGAAGTTAATTCACATTATATATATATATATGACATTTACTTTTAACTAGGGTTGGGTTTTGGTTTTGGTTTTCGATTTGAACCAAAACCGAACCGATAAGGTCCATATCGGTTTTGGATTTTCTGGTCTTAGTCAGTCTCTATTTTATCTGCTTCGGTTTAAACCGAAAATATAACAAAAACAAAAAACCGAAATCGGAAAAACGGTAATCGATCTGTAGGGGGTTTCATCCTAATTGTGGATGTAAGGTTCGGTTTAGATTTTGGGATAACACAACCGTTCAGTTTGGGTTTTCTAATTGTTTCGATTCGCTTAACTGAACCAAACCGAATCGACGATCCTACTTTTAACTTTATACTCAAAGGAAAGGAAGGGAGAACAAACATGCAGAGAATTCACTGTCGATATTGCTGGTGTGACCGAACCGATGATCTTTTTTTATCTCTTTTATGAATTATTTATGATTTACTAGTACGGTTCGTCATACCGCAGGCGGTACATGTGTCCAAACGAGCATAGAAGAGGGTTGTGGTGGAATATGAAGGAAGGTAGAGATGAGAGAGGGGGGGCGAGAACTCTGGTATTGAGGAATCGGCTGAAGAAGTGAAGGGAAGGAAGGGGTGATACACGTAGCGATCGGAAGCATTGAATGGTGTTGGAGAGATTAATGACAGAGAGGGAGAAGGGTCACGAGGAAAAAGCTTCAAGTAGGCCGGAAGGAATTAATGAAGATCGACGAAGAGGAAGAAAGTTGGCCCAACGGACGGATGGCATGGCAATTTGTACCGGTAGGAACGAGGAGGAGAGGAAACATTAATAAAAGCCACCAAGCAAATCTATAGCCTATAGCGAGTAGTAGCAACCGCGGAAGGATGGGTATTGCGTAGCCTTCAGCCTACCGGTCACCACCACCATCCATCTTCGACCATCAATCAATCAGAAATCAGTCAGCTAATTCTTATCTTTCACACTTCAATGTGCCAATCCCACGTACGGCCCCAACGTGCCTTTGCCTTCTCCGTTGTAAAACTTATTTATATATGTTTGACAAGTGATATGATTTAATTAGGCGTACAACTAGGAATAAGGAATGATAATGGGCAGGTTTGGGGCGAGTATCATGGGAGGCAAGTCGGGGTAGGTCAACCCAATGGGTGTGTAATTTAAATATAAATATTCTTTATTTCATTAAAAGACCAAAAAACAAATCATAATGTGATAAAATGTAGTTAAATTATTGGAGAAATTGAGGTTTTGCTTATTTACAATTTTGTTATAGCTAAAATATGAGGTAATAAAAGGAAAATACTAAGAAATTTGACTACATGTAATTTAGACAAGAATGGGGCAGGTCAGGACAGGTTGGGTAGACGATAGGGCTGGGAAATAGTCCGGTTCGGTTTAAACCGGGCCGGATTGACCTGGTTTTTTATAACCGGATTGGATATATACCCAACCGTAGACGGGATTGGATTGGTGCACGGTTTTAACCGTGACAGGACTGGATTGATCCGGTTTCAACCGAAAAACCGGATCTCCTTCTTCCATCCCAAAACGCATCCGTTCAATTGGAAAAAGTAAATCAGACACAAGACCAAATCCCACTGTCATCGTCTCTCTCATAGTCTCATCTTTTCCATCTCTCATTCCATTCAATTTCATCTCAATGCCTCTCTTCTTGTACCAAGAAATCCAAACCACTCTCCTTCGCCTTTCTCCCATCCTCCTCCCTTCCCAGCCGCCACCACGAGTCCACGACCTCCCTCCCCAATCGCGGCCTCAACCTCCATCCCCTGGTCCAAAACTCTGTTGCTGCTGGTCTTCTTTTCATCTCAGATTTGACATGCAATCGGCGATTGCCACTCCACTAGAGCGTCGCCTCGCCGGTGTTGCTGAGTCTCAATTCTCCGCGGATTCCACCTCTGACCGACATGGTTGTCCCGCCACTAGAGCCTCGCCTCGTCGTCGTTGCTGCTTCTCTGCCTCTTCTCTCCGCAGGCTTGGGTGAAGGAGGATAGAGGAATTGCGAAGGGGAAGAGCTCGATGAGGTGAGTGAGTTGCGAGTTGAGGGTGGGTGTCTGTGTTTTTTTCGTTGATAGGAGTTTTGAGAATCAGGATATGTTGTATGATTGAGGCTCGACGACCGCTGGGAGAGTGGGAAGAGAACAGAGAGTATGATATTAGGGTTAGGGAGCAGGTTGGGTGAGATGGGATGGATGGCAGGAGGAAGTGAACGGGGAATTAGAGTTGGGCTAGAGTTGTTTGCGGGCTGGGTCGTTTGGGGGGGGGGGGGGGGGCTTGGGGAGTTGGGGTAGTGGGCTTTAATAGTCAGGCTGTGTTGGGTTGGGCTTTATAATTTATTATCCAGTTTTTCCGGTTTTAACCGGATTGGACCGGCCCAGTTTTTTATACCTTCACCATAACTGTAAATTGGATTGGGTTAATGGATATCCGGTTTCCGGTTGCAACCGGGACGGTTTTAACTGCCCGGTTTCCGGTTTGACGGAAAAACCGGGACCGAATTCCCAGCCCTAGTAGACGAGATGTACACATGCCCGCCTCGCCTACGGGGCAGGTTAGACCCGCCCCAAAACAGATCAGGTAAAACGAGTCAGATCAAAATTGTCATCTCTAAGTATAACCAGTTTATACAAGTTTTAGTAAGCCATATATGTAATAGGGGTGGCTATACGGTCCGGTCCGGTTAAATTGGTCCGAATTGATCCTGTCCCAATCCGCTCTTTTTAGGTATATAAGGACCAAAGATTGGATTAGATGCAATCTAATCTTGATCCGATCCGGTCTTGACCCGGTCCGGTCCCAATTCGATACATGATTTTAGATTGGTTAAGTTTTGGGTGTTGGGTTCTCTTATCCGGTTTTCGATTCGGTCCCAAACGGTTTTTTTGTACCTCAAATCTAAGCCCGAAGATTGGATTGGATTGTTTGTTATTCGGTCCCAGTCCGGGTTATACGATCTGGTTTCCAGTAAAACCAAATAGTCGGACCAAATAGTCAGCCCTAATACGTAGGGAAGTGCAAATCAATGATCAACCATTTATATGACACCATCCAAAACGTTTATACTTAAAACCAACAAATAATATAAATATCAACAATTCATACTTGAATCTAACAAATAACATCAACTTAATCCAAGAAACAAATCATAATTTTTTGTTAATTGGATTCATCAAAACAACATCATTTTGTTTCGCGATAAAAAATCGGTCATGTTTGTCATTACCCCGACATTCCATTCTATTATGTAACGGGTGCGGTTGAACTTGGTTGTATCGGCCGACTAGCCACCGGTTTGACAACCATACTCACTCTCTATGCACCTTCTCCCTGCTCTTGTAGTCTGGTGTACCCATCTCCTCTAGTGTGTTCAGTCCTCCTCCTAGACACTACCGATAAGTGATCGGTGTCACGCGACGAACGTCTTAAACTCAAAGTCAAGTTAGCTATGAAGAACTAAGAAAAAGTGAAAAATTACAACGAAGTTACTAGAAATACTTGACTTCTCAGGCCCTTGTTTAGTATCATTTAAGTTTTTGTTTTCACATATGAAAACACATTTAATTCTATTTTCATATGTTGTTGTGCCAACACGAGTTCGCAACACAATTTAAATTACCTGAAAATAGTGAAACAACATTAAGTAGCTTTCTTGTTGTTTTCAAAAGTTGTTTCTTGTAGGATCTATAAGTTTTTTGTAATAATTTCATTCAAAAAGTTTATGATATACTAACTTTGAAATATTTTTCCCACTTCATTTTTGCATAACTCATTCTTGAAACCGTATTGTCAATATTATTTT